GATATCCCCGGAAGCGATAGGTCGGCCATCGATTACCTGTAACTGCCTAGGTGTGGGGAGCGGCTCGGTAAGGTAGCCGCGGGAGTGGGCAAACGAAGCATCAATAAATCCATACCCGGTGGCTCCTGTATCGACTAGGGCGTGGAGGTTGTCCCTATTCCTAGACAGTAGTATTGGTATCTCGAATGGCTCACAGTCACCGGGGTGGTGGAGTTGCCCAATCTTAAGTTTGGCACCTATCCGTCTTGACCGTAGTAGTCGCATGGCGGTATGGGGACCAGAGCGGTCCTCGACATGGGCTGTGCCACCGTGGAGGGTGACGAGTGCGGGGAGTAGTGGGGCTCCTAACTGATGGAGGGTGTTCAAGACTTTAACTGGTGATGGGTAAGGTCCTAAACCGGTGAGGTACGGCCGGAAGGGTATGGGGGCTAGTGTCAAAAAACACCAGCCCGGGTCATTCCCTGTCGGCCGCCCCCAAGGGATGGAGCGTCGGAGGAGGCGGCATTGTAGGCGGCGAGTACGCCGGGGTAACTTCAGTGGTGGGGTGTGGTCGTCGAGTGGTTCCTCCATGGCCTGCAAGTAGAGGCTACCGAAAAGATAGGCTATAGTCCAGGCTAGAAGGAGGAGTGTGGCGTTCGCGAACATTAGGACGGTGTCTATAGTCTCCGCGGAGAGCGAGGGTATCGATGGTCGCCTAAGCGAGGCGAGTTGGTGGATGTCAGTCGACCCTAAACGACGCAACATAGTGTAAAGAACCATGGGCGAGGTATAAGCTGAGGGGTCGAGGGACATGATTAGGTTCCCTGAGGGGAAAGATAGGCCTCGCGCGAGGGCGAGGGACGGTGCAGAGGTGTACCCGAAGGCAGGGACGGTGGTCTGTGCAAGGACAGAGGGGAGGACAGCGACGAGGGCCGAGTAGTACGCGGCGAGGAATAGGGAGGCGGCGAAGATCATAACAGCGGATGCACAGAGCATGAGGAACAGCAGACGTAACGTGAACTGAGAGTAAAGTAATGTATTGAAGCGAAGTGAATCCCCCAAAGTGATAACCCACAGTAGAATACAAGATGTTGCGTAAGGAAAAGAAAGAAAGACCACAGAAGACACAAGCAACCCTTTATAGTAAAGAAATAACAACCGATTAATAATCCCACGGAACCTTCCAGACTTCCTACTATCTCCTACGTTTAATACAGCAATATAGTTCATAACAATGGCGGAGAGAGCATCGCCGTGTGCTCTCAGGACGAGCACCATATCGCCTGGAGGTGCATGACGCGTGAAAATGCACGACGCGCCTAGAGAAGATTGCGGAGAGAGCATTGCTGGGTGCTCTATGAATGTAGGTGATATCGTTCAGAGTACTCTGTAGACAGTAGCATTAGCGAGTGCAAAGAAGCTCATTAGGGAGTGCGAATATGCTGCTCTGAAAGCGGACTGCTTGGAGCGAGTGCTCTGCTTGGATCGAGTGCTCTGCTGGAGCGAGTGCTCGAGTGCTCGAGTTGCAGTCGTGAAAAGCTCTATTCTCTGACGTCGTCAGATGATTGGCACTGCGCTCTGGCGGAGTGTATAGACAATTATGCGCCCTGGTGCTGCCAGACAGAGAACATACTGCTCTGGGGGCATCGGGCTCGGATGCTAGCATCGCCTGGCGCGAGCATCCTGCTGTGGCGACGCCTGGCGCGAGCACCCTGCTGTGGCGACGCCTGGTGTGAGTACCCTGCCCTGGCGATGCCTGGCACGAGCAACCCTGCTGTGGTGCCACCTGATGCGAGCGCTCAACCCTGGCGATGCCTGGCACGAGCACTCTGCCCTGACGGCGCCTGGCGTGCCTGGCGCCCAGGGCGTAGGCGCTGCGCCCTGAGGAATAGCAGAGTTTGCTGATGTAAGTGCCAGCAGGTGTTTCCGATACCCAAGACAATCACCCTTAGTCAAAGCCTTTGTAATACCTGCAGCCTTGGTTGCCACACAACCGGGGCCTACATGAATGAGCTACCGCTCAGGTGTAAGCTTAATCATTGCTGTAGAGCTTCCGCTTATTCTAGACTTTCCTGACATAGTCCCTGCTACTATTGGTGGACTTGCAAAGCTCAGAGGATACAGGGGATCACCAGACAATCAGAGCTTCACTCTGGCCAGCCTTCTAGTCACTAGCGAGACATACACTCATCAGTCCCTGCTCCCATGAATAGACTCCCTTCCTAGTGCCTAGAATGTAGTTACTCTAACAACTGGTAGCTAACCACACTGCCGGTACTTGCATATCACTGTGTAACTGGCTTCTAACAGTAATTCTCAGCATTTAACCGGGCCCTGTGTGTACTCATACACCAGACAGTTGAAATGGCTCCGTTACAGTTGATAAGATTCTAGTTAGCCACAACGGAGGTGAATTGAGGTTGGCTAAGTTCACTATTCCAACTACTCGTACTATTAGCATGGCTAACCGCAGCCGAAATAAGGTGTTGATATGAGTATTATTAACCACAGTGTGTAGCGGTGTTCAATTATGGAAGGTAGTTCGTGAGCGGTTATCTAGAAGCTTACTAGTGCTAATGCTACTGTTATTTACTATTAACTATATTCTAGAACTTGACGGTATGAGCTACTAAGCAGCTACCATGCGGGCTGATATGAGTGTGTTTGGTCACGGCGGAACATGGAGAGAATTATATATGTTTCTCCTTTGGGTGTGTTCCGTTCTAGAATCATTTTTGAGGGCGGGTTGGACGAACGCGACTATTACTATTGCTAAAACTCTACTGCCGGTACTAGATGTAGTTACTGATGGCAGTGATCGTAATAATGTGTTAGATGAGAATATTTAATCACGGAGAAGCTTGTATAAAGCCCAAAATTATCCCAGTTGCACAACTACAAACCAAAACCCCGGCTAGAAGCAACAATAAACTCAATTGCTATGATTACGACTATTTACCACCACTACCACCGCCCTTTCCCAACCCTCTACCTCTTCTTCTTCTTCTCCTTCTTCTCCTTCTTCACCACCTCGCCCCCCTCCGCCCCCGCCACCCCCGGCATACCCATATCCCTCATCATCTCCCCAAACACATCATCGCTGACCCCACCCCCGCTCAACGCCGCACTATGCAGCGGCAACACACTCCCCATCTTCCACCCCCTCGGCACCTCCGGCGCACTCGGCACCTTCCCATCAAACGGCATCCCCGGGATGCGCACCTTTAGCACGTCCTCCGGCGCCGTCGGATGCGCCACCAGCCACTCCCCCACCTTCTGGTACAGCAAGAACTTACTGCTCACGTCGCCCGTTGCGCCGTTGCCCTCGCGCGGCAGCAGCACGCGCACCCGCCCCGGGTTGGCCCAGTCCTTGGGGTGCGTCTTGCCGGGCTCGAAGACGGTCTTGAGGCGCAGAGAGGCACACGCGTCGACGAGGGCGCGGGCGAGCGGGTTGGGGATGGAGAGGGCGCGGGGGGCACGGCGCCCGCTGGACCGGCTGCGGCTGCTGTCGAAGTAGACAGGGTAGAGGCAGTGGTAGGATTTGTAGAGCGTGGCGGAGCCGGCGGAGACGTAGTGCGTGGAGGGGTCGGAGGAGGTGGGGAGGAAGGCGGGGTTGAAGGAGGGGGGCTGGCCGGAGGGGGTGAAGGGTGGGGGGTTGCCGGAGGGCATGGGCGTGTAGGCGGGGGCGGTGGTGGGGAGGGTCCGCTGGTTGCGGGGGTCGAAGAGGGAGATGTCCATGTCTTCAGGGTCCGAGTCGGAGACTTCCTCGATCTGGGCGTGGCGCGACATTGTGTGTGCTTGGGGTGGTTCAATTGAGGTTCGTGATAGCTGTTGATGGTGAGGTTGAAGAGTCTGGTGTTGAGTTGATGGTGAGAGATGTTGAGAGTTGTCGTGGTGGGGGGAGGCTCAGCGGAAGCTTGGCTGCGTGTGGTCAGGATTCTCTTGGCGGACACATATGCAGCATGCAACTGTGGGATCTGCAAACGAGAGGAAAGACAGACAGGCAGGCAGACAGACAGACAGACAGACAGACACAGACAGCTTCTCTATCGACATCACCGCACCGCAAATACTCAACGAGCCTCCCCCAAAACACCTTCCGAGTACCCGCCACAATCGCTATATAACAATCCTAACCGCCGCCATGACCACCGCCGCCGAAGAACGCGAGCTCCTCCTCAACCCCGTCGTCCCCGAGAACGTCCTCCACAACACAAAGGTACCCATCCACCCAACCCCCTAGCCGCACCCACTCTCAAACCCACCCGCTAACATCCCACAGACAGTAACCGACATCCGCTCCCTCACGGGCTCGCTCTTCGGCGTCGCGGCGGGCATCCTCGGGCTCGAGTCCTACTGGGGCTTCATCTTCTACCTCGTTGGGTCGTGCATTGTCAGTGCGCTCATGGTCGCGCTGAGCACCGGCGGTAGGCCGGAGAGGTATTTTAGGGGGAAGAGCGAGATCTGGACGACGGAGGTGGTCAGCGGCAGTAGTATGGCGGGGTTTATTTTGACGTGGACGCTGTTTTTCGGGTTGTTGAGGGTGTAGGGGGCGTTTGGGAGGAGTTGTAGGAGCAGTGGGGGGGGGTTAATACTGTAATAAATATCATGTTTGTTATGACTGTGCGGTGCGGTGCGGTGTGGTGGTCCCGGTGTCTAAATTCATCTACTATTTCCCTCTACCGTCTACTTGGAGTTCTGCTCCGTGCTTGCTATCCCGCACCCCAATTCGTGATGCCGCAAAGCTGCACCAAGATGATTTGCACTCGTTCGCACCTGTGGCTTGAGCTGTTGATAGCTGTCATGATCCCGACCCTTGGGCGCTCGATCCGATTAGATAAGATTGTAGTCACCGCCAACTCTGCTGCACGTCAACGCAACCAACGCGACTTCCCAGCCTCAACTTCACATCACCGACTTCCCTCGCTCACCTCCGGGACCGACCTCATCAACAGCACCATCATTACGAAGCCACCGAAGAACACCCCAAAACCACTATCTATACACCCACCAGCCAAGCAATGTCAATCACCGGCGACGTCGTCTCCGCCCCCATCAAGGTCGACCGCAAGACCACAACTCCCTTCCTCCTAAAGCTCTTCTACCGCCAGGGCGGCTTCCACCGGTTTGTCCCCCCCCCACCCGCCTCCCTCCCCCCCACTTCTCATCCCTAACATCAGTACTAACACCCCTTCCCCACAGTCTCGACGACTTCCGCGCCCGCTCGCAACCAAACTCCTACGTCACCATCTACACCTGGCGCGACTGCACGCTCAGCGAGCTCTCCATGCTGCTCTCTTCCACGCTGCCCGCCATGTGTCCGCCGCGCTCGCGCGTCGGCTTCCGCCTCATCTACGCCGACACGCGCTACGGGTCCGCGCGCTACACCAGCAAGGACCTTGGCGCGGTGGTACCCGGCGGGGATGCGGCGCTGGATAATGTTGGGAGGAAGACGCTGAGTGAGGTGGCGTTTGTGGTGGGCGATTGGATCGATGTGGCGGTGTATCCGGAGGGGCATGGGGGTGTCGGGGTGAGGGGGGTTGGGGGCGGGGGTTTTGGTGGTGTGGGGAGGGGGCGCGGGAGGGGCGTGCCGGTGGGGGAGTGGAGGAGGGGGGAGAGGGTGGAGGGCGGGGGGAGGGGGAGGGCGAGGAGGGGGTTTAGAGAGTAGAGGAGGCTGGGGGGGTTGGCTTTTTTGTGCGCCTTTTTTTTAGCTCTTTTTTCGTAATGATGGGCGAGTGGGATGCGGTGGGCTGTATACTAGTTCTGAAATGCATTTTTGTCTTTTGTCGTGGTGAGGATTAGTTAGCTCGTAGGATGGAAAATTACACTTTATTGATATCTCTAATACTCTCTCTCCACCTGTCCCTGAAACAGTAGGTAGTAGCTACTGATTCAAACTCTTTAGTTGCTCTCATTAGATACCATGTATATTGTAGACCCGAGTGCAATCCCGTGAACTACCTTGTAGCTACATGTACTCTTGTATCCGCTAGCTCGTGAGAGGCAGCCATCTTATCATGCTACCGCTTTCATGTAAGGTAGGTAGATTGGTAGGTATCATCGGATATGGTTATGTGTACATGTTCGTGGACGCATCATAGGGTATCGCTACTCCTGCTACTATGATCCACGATCCATCACTACATCACCATAACCATCCACGACCCAAACCCCCACCCCGCTTCCACAATACACCGCAATACACCGCAGCATAAGACCATGTAGGTCCGTAGATAGGCGTGAGCTCGGGAGTTTAGCAAGTGCTTGGGCTTGGACGGGCTTAGAGAATGAAAATATATGTTCTCTAAATCAATTCTCGATTTCCCGTGGAGTGGTCACGCGTGATCGGGCCGACTACTATGAGCTTGTCGGGTGGGAGAAACTATTCGTCCTCGTGCCCTACATGGTGCTACCGGAGGCGGTATCCCTATGTTGTAGGTTTAGCTGAGACCTGTTGGGGGGTGTACATGTACAGCTTTATCCAGTGCACCACGCGAAGAGGAGGAGGTGGGAGAGGTTGAAGGTTTGATCGTGCGTGTCGTGTCATAGCCTATGGGCCGCATACACGGATTGGTTATCAATCAATCAATCATTGATGGTGCGTGTCACGTGAGATGCTGCGGCGAGTGATTGGCTGTGAAGCGTTGATGGGAGAGAGACTACTTTTCCCAGCAGGAGTATTCTCGGAAAACATTACCGTTAACATTTTGAAAGAACCCGCGATCGCCATCTCTAACGTGATTGCTATCCCCGGGAGTTGTATGCTCGTTCAGGCCTTTTATTATTATTATAACGTTAAGTTTTAAAAAATCTGCTTCGTTTATTCACTAGGTGAATTCTCTTGCCCAAATACAAAAGGCGATTTCCACTTGTCCTTGATCTCCTTGTGCTTTTCTGGGAATTTGAGAATTTGGGTTAGTTTATTGCACACCAAGAGAGCTGCAACTTTGTACATACCCAACCGGAGCTCCCTGAGCTCCCTCTTTCTGAGTCTTGCCGCTTCTTTTTCTTCGGCCATCTTATCGGCCCAATCTTCTCCCACGCCCATTATAGCTACATAGAGCGTTTAGAATATGATATACTCATTTCAGGGCGACAATGGGGCCAACAAACCTGTTTTGATCTGCTTAACCGGTCTCGGTTTCGGAAATGGGCCATAATACATCGTTTTCATTCCAGGTATTCCGCGGAAACGCACTTGATAGCGACAGGAATCAGGTTTATAAAATGCTCTTTTAATGATAAAGATTGACCTACCGAGTTTATCAAAGGCGACCTCAACTAACGCTTCGTCCATCACGCCACCCTCATGATTTGGTATAGTGTAATCAGCACCCATTTGCACCAACATTGCTGTTGTTGTTTGGCAATCATTCTTTAGAGCCAAATGAAGCGCTGTATTCCCTTCATAATCCTGAATGTCTATTATTTCGGCGTGTCTATTCAAGAGCATGAAAACCCCTTTGTATTCATCCTTTTCGGCCGCGTGGTGAAGGGGTGTCCTCCCAAGCTCATCCCGGAGATTCAACTTAGGATTCGCCTTCATAAACAGTGATAAGATGGCCTTCCGCTTGAGTCTTGCTGCGAGGTGGACTGGAGGAGACTTTGTGCCTTCTAGAGGGTTTACCGTGACACGCGCATTGAGTAGTAACTTCACAATGTAATCGGAATTTCTTCTGATCGCAATGTTAAGTGGTGTTTCTCCATCATCGCTTTGTGTATTCGGGTCGGAACCTGCAGCTAAAAGCGCTGGTATAGCCATTTTTGCTTTGTGCGCTACAGCAAGCTGAAGGGGTGTGAATCCCTTATTATCCTTTATCGTTACGTCGGCTCCAAATTTTAATAAAGTCTTTACCGCCTCTGACAGATTTTGCTGGGCAGCCCGATGGAGTGGTGTCATTCCAAAATAGTTTCGACAATTGATATCGGCATCACCTTTCTCCAGTACTTTCTTGACCTCCTCCCCGTTCCACGGATCGACTGCCCGGTGGAGGTTCTTGTTTCCGTTTTCCTCTGGAACCACAGGCCTTGTGCTTTCCCTCACATATATTGGTGTAGATTCGTCTCCCTCGTCACCCTCAGTGGAAACCGCTCTTTTTAGCTTAACTGGACGCCACACAGGTCGTGCCCAGAGGGAAGGATTAGGGCCTCCAGGTGGTTCAGCGGCTGTCTTGGGGTTGTCCCACACCTGTGACCGCAATCCTCTCCTCTCCAGGAAGCTTGTAGGATCGAGCGCAGACTCGTCATTCCATTCTGCGTCTACTTCTTCGGCCCCATGGAACCCTTGGGGCTGGTCCGACGAAGGCCTAATCCTTCTGAACGCCGTCCAACGAGGTTCATTTTGTTCGGAATATGGCCGGGAGAGAGAGAGGCCTTTGGAAAGAGTCACTTAGCAGTGAACAGAGCTACTTCCGCTTCTTTGACTAACCAGGAATAACGTACGATAAAACAATGACCCTCTACTGCGATTTCTTGCCAAGTAGCTGATATTCATGCAATTCATGTTGATTCTGAGACCAGGCCTTTCGAGGTTGCCCATGCTTAAATTTCAAGGTCACGTGGCTCGATTACCCTGCTCATCAGCAGAGAGTCAGAGACGCGTTGGCTGTATTAAGCACCCCCTGCCACAATTCTCGCGACAACAAACTCGCCTGCACAAAGAACTAATTCATCAGCCATCCATTTATCTTCACACCGATTTTACGTACCTCACGAATAAATAACGACGAAAAGATGTCTGGCGACTACGAGACATTCGAAAACATCTACCTTAATCTTGGACAGCCGGGGAGATGTCGGTTCGCTCCGAGCGGGATGGGCTGGAAGCCTTCTAGCGGCGATACCTGGACCCTCCAGAACACAGAGATCAGCAGTGCACAATGGTCCAGAGCCGCCCGAGGCTACGAAGTGAAGATTTTTACGAGAACGATGGGGATTGTGCAGCTTGATGGATTTGAGTTGGATGTAAGGCACCCCCGAGATCTACCCTTAGCATTGTGCCAGGATAGATAAGCACCGCTTCCACTCTTGCTAGGTGAGGGATTGTTGCTAACTTTATCCGCCTTTTCCATAGGATCTTGACCGAGTTAAAGATACGTTGAAAACCTACTACAAGGTAAATCTCGATCACAGGGAACATGCTCTCAAGGGATGGAACTGGGGAAAGGCCGAATTCTCTAAGCAGGAGCTTTACTTCAATGTCGCCAACAAGCCAGCATTCGAGATTCCATTCTCGGAGGTGTCAAACTCGAATTTAGCCGGTAAGAACGAGGTTGCTGTGGAGTTCGCTACCGCCGATGGAGGCACCGCAGCGACAAACGGGGAAAGTAACAAGAAGAAGAAGAAGAGTTCACAGGGCCTAGATCAGCTGGTCGAGATGAGGTTCTATGTTCCAGGAACAGTCAAGAAGGGAGAAGGCGATGAGGGAAGTGATGTAGATGGAGAGGCCGGCGAGGAGATGAGCGCTGCAAATTTGTTCTACGATACCCTGAAGGAGAAGGCAGATATTGGAGAGGTTGCGGGAGATACTTACGCAACCTTCCTGGATATTTTGTTCCTTACACCCAGGTATAACCCATCCCTCCCAATACTTCGTTTGTTGGTAGTGCTAACTAGTTTATCAGAGGTCGTTACGATATCGATATGTACGAGAACTCTTTCCGTCTTCGTGGCCGAACATACGATTACAAGATTCAATATGACAATGTCAAGCAATTTTTCCAACTTCCTAAACCTGATGATGTTCATCAGATGATTGTCATTGGGCTGGACCCCCCTCTACGACAAGGTCAAACAAAATACCCTTTCTTGGTGATGCAGTTCAAACGGGAGGAAGATATGGAGTTCGATTTGAACATAACAGAGGAGGTTTTGAAGGAAAAATATGACGGAAAGCTCCAGATGCACTACGAGAACTCTGCGCACAACGTCGTATCGCAGATCTTCAGCGGTTTGACCGGAAAGAAAGTCATTAGCCCATCAAGGGATTTCGTCAGTCATCATCAACAGTCTGGCGCAAAATGTTCCCTCAAAGCCAACGAGGGACACTTGTTCTGCCTGGACAAGGCATTCCTATTTGTGCCCAAGCCTGCAGTTTTCGTTTCATTTGACAGAGTTGCTTATGTCACTATGTCTCGGTATGTTTTGTCTAATAACAGGAACTGTTATGAATGATGTGCTAACTCAGCAAATAGTGTCGGGGGATCTGTGTCGGCATCTCGGACATTCGATGTTACGGTCACCCTCAAGCAAAGTGACGGTGGTGGAGAGTACCAGTTCAACAACATCAATCGTGAAGAGCAATCATCTCTAGAAGATTTCTTTAAAACCAAGAACCTCCGTATCAAAAATGATCTCGTTGATGATTCAAGCGCTCTCCTCGCTGCTGCTCTCCAAGACGATGACGACGACATGGACGAGGATGTTACCGTCGCCCGTGCTGACCGAGGCTCCGCTGATGAGGATGAAGAGTCTGTCGACGAAGACTTCCAAGCCGAGTCTGAGTCTGATGTTGCTGAAGAATATGATTCCGCCCACGAAAGTAGCGGGTCGGATGATGAAGAAGGCGGCCCAGAAGCCGCCGCTGCTGGGGACGACGATGACGAGGAGATGGAAGATGCACCGAGCGAGACAGAGGCGCCGGCCAAGAAGAAGGCAAAAACGACTAATAAAAATGTTCAAGTGCGGAACTAAAGGGATTGGCCGCCTTCCCGTTGGAAGTTCATTGCTGGGTCTAGTTTTTTCTTTTTTCTTCTTTTTTCTTTTTGACACTTGGTGCATTGAATATCCAAATAAAATAGGAAGGAGGCTGTACCATAACAAAAAATAGGCTTTTACGGTATTTTATATCTAGGATGGTCTCAAGCACTATATATTATAGTATAGATGGCCTAATTTATTTCTGTTTAGATTTGTTGCACCAGTGACCTCCATTTTTTCTTCTTTTTTACGTAGCGAGTGATAACCTATGATCCAATGAAGAACGACCCCACCAGCCTATTGCGCCTATCAAAAATACAATCAGCATCATGCGTGTATACGTATTCATCCCCATACTGAAGTACGTATTAAGAAAATATCGATTGCCACAAATGCACTCTGCCGATTACAAACGGGACACATTGTGCTCTCTGGGGGCAACAGTTGAAACATTTGGTCTTTTTATATTCGAGTGACGTATGGGGTATCCTCCAGCTCAATCTCTACATATGTAAGCCTTAGAATCATCCATTACTTGTACATATGTGACATGAGCATATCTGTCAAGTTAAGAAAGAAAGAACTTATTTAAGCACTCATTGTCGCCATCTCCTCCCAGGCTTTTCAGAGTATCTATCGAGATCCAGAAATTAGCTATTATCGATCAAAGACCAACAAATTTATCGACTTCACCAAAGCCTACACACGGTTCTCAAAATGCATTTCACATCTCTGTTCTTCGCGTTCCTTTCCCTTTCGATATTCTCCCGCGTCAACTCGTCTGCTCTCCCCCAGGGCGTCTTTGAGACTATTGTTCCTCCAGGAGGTATTCCACCCGGATGTCAGTCCACATATGGCGAAAAATTCAACTTTAGGAGTATATATGGGCCAGTCGGATATCCTGGATTCCATCGTATCTGTGCTACCCCTGGACAGCTACAAATCAGAGTTACCAATGGAATTATGACCGATCAGGTAGGAAGAATTGGTGCCGTCGTTGACAATAGACAAATCCAGTTTGATGGGCCCCCAGCCCAGTCAGGCTCTGTTTATACCGGAGGGTGGTCTGTTTGTGATGATGGAACTTTGGCACTAGGACCACAGAAGTTCTTTTTTGCTTGCGCAAGTGGTAGCTGTGAGTAACATTCCATTCGCTTTTGTTGCATGATTTATTGAGAGAAATCTGACTCTCTTGGGTACATGTAGTTTCCAACCTCTACGATCAGAAAATCGCAGAATACTGCAAGCAAGTAGTGTTCCAAATAATGCCTATTGCAGAGTGTTAGGGGACGGGAAAGTAAGCGACTAGGATTTCGGGAGGACATCATATGATTGTGACAGGAGGGCGGTTATGGTATCAATAAGTGATTCAGACCTACTCTAATAAGCTGCCACCCGATTGTAAATACTTGGAAGTAGTCAAGAAATAAGATTATTAGCTTTCTTATTGTTAAGCAGTGGACATTGTATTTCCAGGAACAATTTCAATGCCACTGTTCCTTACTTGTACTGGTGTGGTATTCTCGTGTCCATCCGGAACATCAACCAACTATATAATTGTTGGATAATTCATAATCAAATCTGATTTTATCCTTATGTATCACCTCTAGCCTCTGCTGCCGTTTTGTGCCCCTCTCATGAAATCCTCCCACAGGGCCCTGCATTAGTACTTCACATGGTACATCTGTACGCGTATGTACAAGTATTTAGCTATCAGAGGGACTCGATGGCTTAACAAACCATGGAACGTACCGGTTAAGAAGAATAGTGGAAGAGTGGCCGCTCATTTCTCTCACGCCTAGCCTTCTCGATATTTGGTGTATGTGTGGGGATGTACTCCACACTGACCGGGCGTCTAGGAGTGTCTCCTAGGATTGGTGGTACAAGCAAATCTGATGTATGTAGCACAATCATGTCATCGTTATGTCCAACCGATTACCGAACCTTAATTACGCAATGACCACACATCCACTCCATGAACTCCACACCCACAAAACCTGATAAGTAGATTATTTATACTCTACTTCTTTTATAAAGAGTTTAACCCATGCTCTTAGACCGTATGCGAATCGCAAAGTTCGCTTCGAAATTCCATCGACATTTCTCTACAACTATCACCATGGCATCCACCGACTCGATCACCACTCCAAATGTCCCATCATCAGTGACAAGCAGTCCCCTGCAAGATAATATGATGTGTGGGAAAGTATTCACTGGAGTATCACTGGAAGATATTCCGAAATCAAACATATTCACCTCTAAGCTCCCACGTAATTCCAACAGTATTTTCTCTAAATAACTCTTCGTATATTTTCTAACTTTTGCAGCGGACCCAAAGTTCCCAACCCCCGAGATCTCGGCCAAAGCTCCAAGGAGAGCTCTTGGGCCTCGTATGGTCAAAGGCGCATTTTACACCTATGTCTGCCCTGAACCAATCGAGCAGCCACCGGAACTACTCGCTACCTCAAAAGCCGCATTCAAAACGCTTGGTATCAATCCTGCCGAGGCGTCCAGGCCCGAATTTGTTCGTTTGGTGGCGGGCAACGGTGGTTTCGAGGATAAAATATATCCGTGGGCACAGTGCTATGGTGGTTGGCAATTTGGACAGTGGGCCGGTCAGCTTGGCGATGGCAGGGCAATTTCCTTATTCGAGGCCACAAATCCAGAAACAAAGGAGAGATACGAGTTGCAACTCAAAGGAGCGGGCAAAACTCCATACTCTAGATTTGCCGACGGGCGTGCGGTGCTACGATCCAGTATCCGCGAGTTCATCGTGAGCGAGTATCTCCACAGCATTGGAATACCGACCACACGTGCTCTCAGTCTGACTCTACTTCCTGGAGTCGAAGTCTCAAGGGAGAGGGTGGAGCCATGTGCAGTCGTATCGAGGTTTGCACAGAGCTGGATTCGAATCGGTACCTTTGATCTGCCCCGAGCACGAGGCGAGCGAGAAATGTTGAGGCAATTATGTGATTATGTTAGAGATGAGGTTCTGAAGCTTCCACCACACGTAGCAGAAGCGGGAAAGCCGAACAGATACGAAGTTATGTATAGAGAGGTTGTTACGAGGAATGCGAAAACTGTTGCATACTGGCAGGTGTATGGCTTTATGAACGGTGTACTCAATACTGACAACACCTCTATTCTCGGACTATCTCTCGACTTTGGGCCATTTGGTTTCATGGATGTACGTTTTCTCTTATTTTTGTCTCCTTATAATACCCACTAAGAACGCCGCAGAACTTCGACCCGAGGTACACCCCCAACCATGACGACCATCTACTACGCTACTCTTATAAAAATCAACCTACAATAATTTGGTGGAATCTTGTTCGTTTTGCCGAATCTACTGCTGAGCTCTTCGGCGCGCTAAATGTCGATGACCCTGTCTTTATCAAATCTGGTGTTCAAAGTCAACCCGAAGGCGATCTTCTCGTTAAGCGGGCTGAAAAGATTATTGAAGACGTTGGAGAATCATATAAAAAGACCTTTTTAGACGAATACATTCGCCTTATGACATTAAGACTCGGCCTTAAAGAAACTAAAGAGAAAGACATGGATGAACTCTTTACACCATTACTGGAGCTTATGGAGAAACTCGAACTTGACTATCACCACTTCTACCGTCGCCTCTCAAAACTCCCTGTCCGAAAGATTGTATCAGAACTCTCCCCAGAGTATACTGGACTCGATGTATTCCTCCAAGAAGACGGCTCCCATGGTGGTTATACCCCCCCACAGGCTCGATCCCAAATTACTACTTGGCTACAAACCTATGCAAAAAGACTAGAAAATGAAGGAAGTGAGGACGATGCTCGAATGGAGCGTATGAAGGCTGTTAATCCGGGCTTTGTGCCAAGGAATTGGGTTCTCGACGAAATCATACAGAGGGTGGAGAAGAAGGGTGAGCGTGATGTATTGAATAAGGTTATGGAAATGGTTGAGAGGCCCTACGATGACTGGGAAGATGATAAGGATGGTAAAAGATGGGTAGGAGATGTTCCTATGTCGGAGAGGCAAATTCAGTGTAGCTGTAGCAGTTAAAGCGAGGAAGGACAGGTGGAAATGCATGGATATTCAAAGGGGAAGGACCGCATGGATTATACAGCCCATTGATTTTTATGGGCACATACATGTACATAAAATACATGGCTGTGGTATTCGTAAAGGGATTGCTCCTAAAGGTTGCACAGGAAGTAAATGAAATACTGTATTTTAACTGCAGTTAAATACTATATGACTTTAGAGCATTCGTCGCTGGTTTTGAAACACTTCTAAAAATCACCATGGTCATCTTGGATATTGCGTCTATTAGGAACCAATATCTGGTAGATTAATGAAGTCGAACTTAAATGTGACATCCATGTATCCAGCCAGATAGCTAACTACAGTCTAGCAAAACGAAAACAAATCAACCCCAGCTTTTTTTTGATTACATACATCGAACACCAAAAGAGAATTTAAGAAACACTGGCTAATGATTATCGATCGCATCGCTACTATGCGGTAATGCTAATGAATATGAAATACTGAACGTACTCAAAAGACAACCATACAAACCCCGTAATGAACACAAGGGGATGGAGACAGATGATAGAGTGGCATAATGGTAAAGAACAAAGAAAAACCCACAGCGCCCTTCTCCCCTTAAGTTACGCTAGGTCACAAAGAATAACTTGCCAAGACAACCTTGAGCATGACCTCTCACTTCAGACCTTGAATCCAAACCCTCCAAAGCCACTCTTCCTCTTAGCGCTTGCGCTTGCCATTCTCCCGTTCAGAGCATTGTTCTGCGGCTTCACGACTTCCTCCTCCTCACTACTACCACTACTGTCAACAGACGAGTCCGAATCCTCGGAATCTTCATCTTGCGGCGCAGCTGGTTTCTTGGATCTCTGGAGCTTGGTGGGGCTGTTGGCCTTGGGGGTAGAAGTATTACGACCGGATTGGGAGGATTGATGCACTTCTCTAACGTCCGGAATTGGAGCCATCTCCATCGCAGTCAAGCTCTTATACCTCTGGCTTCCATTGATACTCTGGCTCGCACTCAAAGAGTGACGTTTACCGTAAGTGCGGCCTTTGAACAGTGTCTTTGCCAATGTGGGCTTATTCTTTCCGGTAGCACCCGAATCGCTTTCAGAGTCGGACCCAGAATCTGTGCCTGATGCTGACGCTTTGGAATCAGAGTCGGACTCAGATTCTGTTTCTTCTATAGCTTTCTGGCCAGATGGAGGCGCCTTTTCGGAGTCGGACCCGGTTTCTTCTACTTGTTTATCAGAGGTGCTTCGTTTATTGTAGACTGCGACCGCAAACAGCTGTTTTGGAGTAGGTGATGCTGGGACATCAGGCATTTCCACATCTTCCGTTGATGAAATTGCTTTAGCGCTCTTGGGAAGGGCAGTCGCAGTGGCCTTTGTCGCTTCGGCTTCTGAATCGTTGGATTCGGAACCAGTCTCGGAGCCCGTCTCTGAACCTGTCTCGGAACCTGTTTCCGACTCTGATTCGGACTCAACTAGCTTTTTCATTGACTGTTTTATAGCTGACGCCGGTGTCTTCCCATTCAGCTTTGGGTTTGGGGGTGTTGCTCCTCCTGCCACCACCTTTGCTGCCTTTATCGGCTCGGTCGCTTTACTCTTAGGTCTAGCTGTCGTCCCATTCGTCACGGGCTCAGATGCCTCATTCGCAAAATCGCTCGTAACTTGAGATGTCTTTACCCCCGATGATGACGGCGTCTTCCTGGTATTTACCCTATCCGGTGCTTCTTGGTTATTGCGTTCATATCCTGGTGGTAGGATTGGCGTCTGTTTTATTGATGCTTGACTGGCCGGAGGTATACTTGTGTCAGCAGTTGTGGCAAATGAAACTCTAGTTGAATGTTTCTTCACCGCCGAGCCTTTAAGGTTGCTCTTCATTCCTTGACTAGGAGTAGGAGGAACGGCTGGTTCGCTTTCGCCCAAGGAATTCTGGCTTGGGACCTCCCCTTCCTTCATTTGCGCGAGTTCCTCGGATGTTTGTCGATTTTTCTTTTCCCGCTCAACTTTGGCTTTCTCGGCCCTTTCTTTGGCTTTGCGAACCCTTTCCTCGGCAGCTTCCTTCTTTTTAGCCTCACGCTCGGCTTTTTGTTCCTCAAGACGTTTCTTCTTCTCCAGAGCTTCCCGTTCCTTCTTTTCTTTGGCCGCTTCTTTCTTGGCTTCCGCTTCAGCCTTTTGTTCCTCGAGGCGTTTCTTCTTCTCCAGAGCTTCTCGTTCCTTCTTTTCTTGGGCTGATTCTTTCTTGGCTTCCTCTTCGGCCTTTTCTTTATTCTTTTTCTCTAAAGCCTCCTGTTCCCTTTTTTGTTTAGCAGTTTCCTTCTTTTTCCCTTCACGATCAGCCTTCTCTTCTTGAAGACTTATCTCCTCTGCTGTTTCCGGCCTTACTGCTCCCTTATTTACGGCGGCTCTCGTTGTCCTCTTGGGGGTTGGGTTTTCGCCTACAGACTTTTCCTGGGAAGCTTCAAGGACCTCCTTCCCATGGGATTTCCTCAGAACAGTAACAGACAGTGCCGCTTCGGCAGCTTTCAGATCAGTGATCCCTTCATCACCCTTGTCATTTTCAAGGGTAGCCGCCTCCTCAGCAGCTCTGGTTTGCGCGGCCTGTTTTTGGGCAGCTTTCTCCTGAGCAATCCTCTCTCGCTCAGCTTTCTGTGCCGCTAATTTTTCTTGTACAACTCTCTTTTTCTCGAGTTTCTGCTTCTCGAGCTTCTCCTTCTCAAGCCTTTCCTTTTCAGCCTTCTCTTTCTTTAGCCCCTCGAGCCTTTCTTTTTCAAGCTTCTCTTTCTCGAGTCTCTCCTTCTCGAGCCTTTCCTTCTCGAGTCTGTCCTTCTCGAGCTTTTCCTTCTTGAGCCTCTCCTTCGCGAGCCTTTCCTTCTCGAGTCTGTCCTTCTCGAGTCTCTCTTTCTCGAGTCTCTCCTTCTCGAGTCTCTCCTTCTCGAGTCTCTCCTTCTCGAGTCTCTCCTTCTCGAGCCTTTCCTTCTCGAGCCTTTCCTTCTCAATCCTCGATTTCTCTGCTCGCTCCTTTGCCGCCTTTGCTGCCTTTTGTCTCTGTTCTGCAGCCTTCGCCGCCACCTCCCTAGCTTCTTTATCCTTTTTCTCCTTAGCCTCCCGCTCCCTGCTTTCTTTCTCTTCCCTTATTGCCTGTCTCTCGCTTTCACTTTCTTTCTCGGGCTCGTCCTTTTCTCCTTCCATTCCACGCTCCAGTATTTGTTGACTAGACTCGTCATCTGCCTCCTCGGACGCGGTTTCGCTGACGATGCTAGGTTTGCGAGGCCTCTTAGAAGTAGAATTGGGAGTTTGGGTTTTGGGCATGGGCAGAACGTTATCTTCCTCATCCGAGGCGGGGACTGAATAGATGCTAGGCTTTACAGTAGATGATACAGGAGCGGTAAAATGATTTGCTCCCGCGATAGGTCCTCCGGCAGTGTGACGATCTGCCCTTGCCGCGAGTTTTTCAGCAACAGTTTGACGACCTGCTCTTGCAGCAAGTGCCCCCTTCCTTACGCCAAGTTTTTCGGTAGCGGTAGGGGTGCAATGAAGTGGTCCGCTGCTCCTCGACAGCTGTAAAGGCCGGGAAGTCTCTTGGTGTTTGCTATTGCCGGATGATGCATGCCCTTCAGGAAAACCCTTGGTGTGCCCCACGGTATGTAGTTCTGGGCTCGCGGGTATTTGCGAAATTCTCTGTTGGATAGGCTCGGGGGTCTCGGGATCAGATTGAGGATCATGATTTCCGATCGGGGTATTGACATTGGGGCCTATTTGGTTAGGCTCTGGGGTATGGATAGACTTGTCCTCATTCCCAGGACCTGGGGAAGAGGAATGGTAGGATTTGAAAGAGTCATTATCCTCATCGCCGAGTACTCCATCATAGTTGTAATCTTCAAACCCGGCCCCAGCTCCCAAGTCCACTAGTGGGTCGGATACTACTTCATTATTCCAGTTTCTGACAGCAAGATTTTCTTCCCTTTCGTCCATACTATCTCCCACCAGAAAATCATTCAGCCTCTGTCTCTTACTAGACCTCTGCCGTCCACTCCCTCGTGAAGGCTGGAGCGATACTGATTGAGAATGGGAAAGTGGCTGCGAATGCGATAGGCCTCTCTCGTTACTCTCTTCCCTCACATCTTCCATCATCCCCATTGGTCTCGGCCTCTTCCTTCTAGCAAACTGACCTATCCTTAACCCAGATTCCGGTGGAATCGAAGACTCGCGGACCGAAGATGCTTGCACGACTCTCACAATTGAGCTCAAAGTATCAGAGGCTTTATCTGAAAACACATCCTCGACCGTATACGACAAGTCCAAGTCATTTTGGGCGGAATCTTGCAATCTGTCGATTCTCAACGGCCTGGGGAGAAAGAAAGAATAATTTTTCTGTTAAAAAGAGCCCGACGATCCAAGTTTATAGATCATGAATAGGTAGATAATAAAGGCGAGAGGAACCTACGGGCGGTGTGGATAGAGCCTTCTATAGCGATTTGTAATTGAGCTTGTCAAATCCTCAAGTGAGAGTGATGGCAGCGCGACTTCAAGGAATGTAGACACTGGCGCTGCGCTGGGAGCGGCGTGCGCTGGGATGATGTGCACTTGCAGACGCATCCTTGCGGATTCGAGAGGGGGGACAGGGGTGAAGCAAGTGAGAATATATTGTGCGTCAACAGATTGCAAGATAAGGGGGAGTTGACCTCAGAGGTGGATGTATTGTTGGGTGATCTTCCCGACGGAATGTGTGGTGGGGTTAAGTTTTGGGGGAGCAACGCGAGACAAAAGTCGTTGGCTGGGTTGTCGCGACTTTTTTTTTGTGTGTGGTTAGATTAGATCTGATTAGATCCGTGTGCAAATCTAATCTGGCGCGGGACCTAGATAACCCAACCAGACATGTGTAGCGAATTGAGAACCATTAAGAATTGAAAAGGGGTCCTAAGAGTTAATTGATGCGATGGTTACTTGGTTATGTATATCGCACATTGAAATTTCTGTTTTCTGATAAAAAGACACATAATAAGAGGCAATTACATGTATGATTATCTTCCTGTGATTCCTGTGACTGGAAACGTTCTCTATGATTGAGATCGATAGCCAGTATAACTGCGTGGGGCTCTAGTACTACCCCCATCCCACTAAAAATGTGGTTTTCCGGATAAAATTCATTTTCTAGCCAGTTCGACTGTTTTCTCCGCTTGTGACCTTAGGAGGAAGGAAACATGGATTATCACTCGATAAGCCATGGATAAATGGAGCTTAATCAGGCACGACATTCAATTCGGAAACGCTAAATAAGCGTAGCAAATCATATCTGGTAAGATGCAATCATATATGCCAAATAGGGCTGTATGTAGCCTCGTTTCCAATTTGAGTTCAATGCACTAGCTACTTACTTAATCATGCCATGATGTCATCAATACTCATTCGCCCTAAGGCCTAATTAAGGAGAAGTTGATACAACATGCAACTCGTATCAGCTTGCAGCTTGTGTCTATATCAATTGATAAAAAAAATTATCCAGCAGATGTAAAACAAACTGATAGGAATTTGTACAGTATTCATTGAATACAGTAATTCTGTGATGAGAGAAGAACGCTTATCCAAACGTTTAGATACTCAGATCTAAGAACGGCTTGAACGCACGAACATCATGAAGATGCCTACCTTAACGGTTCATTCCGACAGACAGGGGCAAATATAAAAAAAAATACGATACCCACACGCTCCCCCTCCCCCGCAAAAGCGATGTCTCAACCCCACATCAATTGCGTCAACACCATCTGAGGCCTCGATCAATCTACGCTCAATTCACGTCACTCAAAACATCCGTGTTTCCACCAGGAGCATCCCAGAGGTCTTTTACTCTAGAAGGAAGCGATGGAGATCGCCCCGTCCCCCTCAGCCGTCCCACGTAATCCATAGCACCCTATGACGTTACGTTTACCTCCAGAAAGCGGATATAAGATTCGCTGCCATATAGACATCTCTGAAGGATAAAGTCTCTTCTTCGACGTATCATCCCATCCAACATGTCTGCACTATTCAACCAACGCACTCTTCTTCGATCATTCACCCGACTTTCAAAAGTTTCACTGGAAACAAAAAGAACTTTCCGTCTCTCAGCTATCGCAATGGAACAGAAATACAAGGAAGGCCAGAAGGTTGAATACCATCCTATCGGTGGTGAGTAGTTCTCCTCAGTTGAGTGTATTACTTGTGCTGGTGATAACAAATTGGCTTGTAGGACCCCATGGAACTTCTACCAGTACCGGAAAGATCGTACGAGTCCTCACTCACCCAGATGCCGCTGGCTCTACCGGAAACACCGTGAAGGCATCCGAGTCAGATCCCCGTTACGAGGTATTTATCACTCTTTCTTCTCAGCTTCATTTCTCGGGATAATTAACTCATGGCAAAATATAGATTCAAAACGACAACACGGGAAAAACCTCGGCGGTGAAGGAGAATAACATTGAGCGGGTGCTTTAAATATTTCTTTAAAAGTAATAATCGCATTGGTAGTCTAGCAGGAGAACAATCAATTACCAGTGTTTAATCATCTCTTATTCCCACTTGATGTGAATTGAATTCTAAAGTGAAAACTATTTTGCGTGGTTGTGAAAGCCGTGTACCAGGCTAGCTTGTGAAATTGTCAATTTTGGTGGTGTGATTCGCGGGTTAAGGAACTACGAGTGTACTATACTCTACTATCCCCCACAAGAGACCTCCGTGTTGCGTTGAGACAAGCCTAAGCCCCAAAAATGATGTGCCTGCTTTAGTTAGTATGTGTGTAGCTTGGCACATAGCCGCTCACTCGATTTAGTCGATTGAAATCCTTTTAATGCCAACTTGAGAATAAGATCACCTACGTGTACTTTAAACGTATAGATATTCTTATGCGTTCAAGGTTCCTTCCCTTTCTTCTTTCTCAATAAATGATGTGTTGGCCTAAGTCTTCCTAAAACCTCATAATTAAAGGGTAATGACCAAATTTACAACTTATTTAGGCTCAACCTTGTGGTTCGTTTTCCCCGTGTTCAAATAGCTGGGGCGAGAGGTAATCCTACTTCCAATTAAGGTTGAGAAGCTCGCGAGTAAAGCCCCCACAAGGGTGAGACACCCCGTCCTCTCCCCGAGGTACTCCATGAAATATATCTCTATTAGATAACTATATAATATATATCTAAATCCCACCCTCTTCCACTACCTTTACCACCTTACCATCCTCCACCCTCTCAAAAAACGGCGAACTCAGAGCCGTCTGCTGTATATCGCCGGGCTCCTTCCACCTCACGCCCTCCTTCGCCCACATCCACCTCACATAGACCCTCAATTCTTTATCCATTGGAACCACACTCCTCCACTCTTCCTGCCCAACCTCCACTCTCTCGCCCGCCGCCCTCCGAAACTCATCTCTGCAAAAGATGCGCCAGCTATCCAGCGCGTACGCGCCCACGCCCGGTAGATGCGCGATCTCCCAGCAACGACCCTGCTCCACACCGTTATTAGGGAGCAGTGAGGAGGGGAAGGGCTTAGTGTCGCGTGGGGGGTAGTTGTACTTTTTGGCGGCCTGGCCGAAGATGGGTGGGGTAGTGAGCCAGGTTGTGGCGAGGTTGTGAAGGCGTGTGGCGCGGATGTTGTAGAGACCGAGGGGCTGCAGGAAGGTACTGATTTTGGTGAGGGGGGCGAGGGAGAGGGCGTGTGGTGTGGGGTAGTCGCGGAGGAATTGACGGAGTAGGGGAATGGCGACGGCTATGGGTTGGGAGGGTTAGTTCATGATTTATTTAATTAGAAGCTCCCAGAAAATGTGCATACTAACACCCCCGGGTTCGGTTTAGAAAGGTTGTTCCTACGATTAGATGGAACTACGGCGAGGTAAGAAGACTTTCTCTAGTAAGATATTCGCTCTAGTTTGGATATACTTACAGCGTCTCCTTTGAGCTCTTCCTGGATGAGGCCGAATCTGTCTGAGCTCAGCGGCGGCCAGATTGCGGTTGATATACCGGCTTGAACTCGTCGAACAGTCTTCTTCCTTTCTTTTCGCTCTTGTTCCTCTACTGACGCTGTTTCCTCTCTAGACTGCCGCTTTCTCCGCTTCTTTTTCTCCTTTCCTTCTGGATCTTCTTTGCTCTGCTCTATATATGATACAACCTTTGCCCTTGAGTGGGTCCTCCTTGGCTTCGGTATCAAAGCCTGCTCCTGCTCGGCACTATCTATAATCGCCTTAGACGGGTCATCAATCTGGCTCATCAGTATCTCCCCCGACGCATTTTCGGGCTTGATATCAAAATGCGGGCTGGCCGACTTCGACTTTTTAGACCTTGTTTTCCTCGTCACGGGCGGACGTTCGGACTTGGTTTCGAAACGAGGGCTTGTCGATTTCGATTTCTTGACTTTCTTAGCCCGTGTTTCTTGGGGTATGTTTTCTGTTATTATTTCGAGCGGGGCTTTGGTCCGAGTGTCGAAATGGGGGCTTGTGGCTTTTGGCTTTTTGGCCTTCTTGATTCCTGATGTTTCGCTTTTTGGGGGTCTGGGCCCTGCTCCCCGTGGCTTGGATATTAATGCAGTTTGGTCGGCAGTGTTTGCCACTGTTTCTGTTGAGTTTGATTTTTGGACCCTTACTTTCCTCGCTCCTCTTTTAGGCTCGGGAAGAGCTTCAGGCTCGGCTTCGAAGTGCGGGCTCGTCGGTTTTGATTTCTTGGTCCTTTTGGTACCTATAGGCTTTCTTTTCTTTTTGTGTGGTGGTGAAGTATACCCAATTATTACTGCCTCCTCGGGCTTATCCTTAATCCGAACTGTCGGGACTTCCGCAGGTGTATCTTCATCACTAACGCCCACCTTTGCACCCTCTTTCAACCGGGCAGCTCCCTCTCCTTCAGCCAAACCCTTGCCTTTCTTGCTTAGCACCACAGCATCCTCGGGCCTGATATCGAAGTGTGGACTTGAAGTTTTCGACCTCTTCTTCTTTTTTCCAGAGTTTTCCCTCCTCCTGGCCCTTTCTTCCCGCCTCCTCTTCCGTGCGCTTCGCCGGAGCTCTTGCTTAAGCTTTGCGGGTGTGCAAGGGCACTCTTTGCCAGTATCAACAATGTTTTTCGCAGGAGTCGTGCGCTCCTTCTTCATTGCTGGCCGTTTGCGTGTTTCGCTTGCTCCGCGGCCGGTCTTGGGTTTTGATACCTACTAAGCTCAGGTAAAAAGTACTGATATACATTCATCTCAGGCCAAGACAGCAACAACGGGACGACGTCATGACTTTGGTACTCACCCCATCTACCTCCATTACAATATAGCGAACAGGCCCTCCATACTAAGAGATTCACAAGTTGTTTCATACAAGATGAGCTGTTTCAAACGAATGAAGAAGCATGCAGTAGGTAAGCCTGGTGCTTGAGTGAGATCAACTGCTGTGGACGTCGTTTGTCGTGTTATCTGATTATACATAGATCCTTCTAGCCCAGATTAGATTAGATAAGATCTACATGTAGTAAGTACCGGGTGTGCACGTAAAGTACGGACACCCCCATGTCCATTTTTTTCATTGGTTGATTTTTGTGTCAATGCCATGGGTAGCAACCAAAGCAACCAATGGTGCAGGATGATTTTTACTGAGACTTATATGGGAAAAAAATACCGAGACGTTCTCATATATTTTCACTTAAAAAATCGAATTTAATCGTTAAAAATACAAACAAAAAACCAGTAGTATCTCCCCTGCCTACCGCGTCATCTGCATATCATTTCAGGCCGCCAGACTCTGTTGAGGGTTGTTATTTGATGAAATTGTAGTTGAACCGAAGTCAAATTGAGGTGATGGAGGTTGCGTTGCAAAAGCTGGCAACGGGCTACCTCAAATACTTGCTTGGCTGCCAAGTGTCACTTTAATTCATATCAGCCCAATCAGAGTTCTTTCCAAACCCTCATTTTTGAAAATTCCCCAAAAGGGGGTTCTCAGTACTTACCCTTAACCCCCGGTACATATGTATGTAAGGTTAGGGTTTTTCTGTTCATCCTCGTCCTAGATAGAGCACTGAGCTTGGAGCGCTCAGCACGCCACGATGGAGGACACGAGCTCCTAATATATTCTAACTATAGGTGAGTATATATTTCTCCATTCACCAGAGAAGTTACAAGCCTACGCCATAAATTGCCTACCTCTGTTGCTAGGCTGAATAAATACATAATATAGATAAGAAATTCCATTATACTCCTGATTGAGGGTTCAAACACGTGATGCCTATCCAGTAATTCAAGTCTATATTATGATCTTTCAATTTCGAAACACGTACATAATTATAATAACTAGAGCGCCTGAGTCTCATATACAGCTCCAAGATACGGTTGAAGTGTGTTAATTAATAGTACTGCTCGACAGTTGTTGGGTACAAAGAGAACAAAGCAGCCGTCCACAAACAAAGAGCCCTCTCTCTCGACCGCCTAACAGGACTCTAGGACAAAGACATGCTTTGTTATCCTTGGCAGTTTTGTACATATGCTGGGTTTATAAGATACTAGATGGGAGGACAGGTCGTTGTCTGATGGACATCATGCCCAGGAGATATATCCGAACCACGATAAACGCCAAAAGACACGCAACAATTATCAATCTCGACGGCCGTGGACCGGAGAAAATAAATCCGTCACATATAAGCGTTCAAATCATTCAGTGGGAGATCGAGAGAATATGGCTGCAGTAGACCCCTTTGGGCGTGCTTATGACCAAAGAAGAAGAGTGGATCGGACTGGCCTGCCTGATCCCAGACGATCGCGAACATATGCGCGTCACCGTGGACTACACCGCGATAAACCCATCTCTTATGGTCCCCACAATCGTAATGATACCCTTGGTTACGATGGTGATAGTGATAGCGATAATCAGGAAGGTGGGAACACCCGTATTTTCCTTATTCTTTTGCAATTTGGCCTTCTGGACAGTAGTTAATATACCTTCCTCCGGCCACAGTTGACGACCCGGAAGCTTTTGTCCGAAACCAATCACGACTAAATAGGTGCTTCAAGCAGTGGAACGTCAGCTTTGAGGATCCCGAGAACTTCTGTGCCACCCTTGTGCCCCTCCTGGTCACATTCCAGACACTTTTAAACTTAGATGGCCAAGAACGTGCAAACGCCTATAATGAGACGACAAACTGCGTAACGCTGCACGACTTTTTGATCGAGATAAAGAATCATCCTAACCATAGCCGCCGACAGGATGCTAGGAGTATTCTTGATGAAATTGATAACCGGATCAAAGGTTATCAATGGAGAAGGCTTACACCGACCCCAGCGGTACCACCACCACAGTACATAGTACCCGGTACTGAGAGAGAGTTTAGATTCGATCCATCACCTGCAGAGATAGAAAATTTATGGAATAGTGGCGCAGTTTTCCAGACCATCCCATTTACTGCCGGAGGGTCAGGACAGATAGCACCGAGAATTGAAGGTCTTCGACGTCCTCCCCCAGCACTAAAGCCTCGACACTTTATACCAGATACCCCATTTATCCCACTTGGTAATGAAATATGGACTGCCAATCTAGAGTCCCGGGTAGATAATATGTCTATAACAGCAGAAGCTGGATTGAATACCTTGATGAGCTTTGGAGAACTTTCAGACGTTCTAGATCGGCCAGGTCCTGAAATGTATTTGTATGACACACCACTGGATGATACATATATGCCTATGCCTGAAGGCTGTCTGTTCTTGAGAGGGCCTGAGATAGACGAAACAGATCCTGAACTACAGAACATGGACATTTGGCCAGATTTGGAAATCATTGATGAAAGGGTTGCGCCTGACAATGATCCAATGTCACAGGTTGGAAGATATCACTATCTTTATATTCTATTTTCTCGGGTTCGTGAACTGGTTACACATCCAAGGGTTGCAAGGAAATTCGCGATTGTGTTTCGGGCACCCCCCGGTAGCTATGGCCCTTATAGTAATGAGGAGTTGGTCAATGAGCTTCCGCCAACCAACGACGAAAGTCGGTTTCAAGTTCCTTTATTTTCTATTACCAATACATGGGGGAGTAGTTATTTCTTATACTAACCCATATATCGTAAACAGTCGAATTGGTGATATTTTGGTTCTCGAGCTTATTTCCTCCAGTACATATAACTCGAGACTTACCACCAAATGTTTACGGCAATCAACCTCGAGGGCGCGGTCTTGAGCATATAAATATCAACGCCAAACTAATAGATGCCATCGAAACTCATCGACAGGATATGGAAGTAGGCCACCTACTTCTATTAACGTTCCAAACTCTTGTTCACGAACTTGCACATTGGTTATATGCAAAGGTAGGTAGTATCCTGCATTATCTTTCTCAAGACATGTTTAATTGAAACCATGAAAAACAGATATGGTATCGACCTGAACCCCCCGGTCCGGGAGTTGTGGCACGATCACTCCGGAACGTTAGACAGCGTAATATCACCATGCGATATGACCAGGCAGAAATTTGGCCTGGAAGCGTCTATCTCACACCACGGAAAATGCGCTTCTTCATACACCCGCACCAGGAGTTTTACGACCATCCAGACTATCGATGGCGACAATTCCCTCGTTATCGTGGTGAGATGGGAACTATGATTGAGTGGATGGTATTTGGTTATGAGCTTGATCTGCCACCACCACTGGGCACGATGGAGGGTCTTGAAAGATATCTTTTGGTCCTCTTCTACGGTTCTTCGCCCGGGCAAAATGTCGAAAACCAAGTGCAATTCACGGCTTACGGAGCCGGTAGACTTCTTCAAGCCCACAGACATACTTGGAGTCACAGAAGCCCTGCCGAAGTAGTCGAATTAGCAACCTTCTTGAGGACGGAAGCGGCCTTGCAAACACCGCCACCAGAAGATGGACAATTACAAATAACCCCAAGATTGGAACTTGAAGATTGCCTGAGTACCCGTGATCATATTGATAAATACGATGCAGATGAATTGCACATAGCTGGAGATATTGGGGAGAATGGGACGTACCGCAGGGCTGTTCAATACATTTGCAAAGAGAGGCGAGAGGCTGAGCACAAAAGGAGAGGGCAGCCCAACGAGTATGGATGCATCGCCCCTTCAGAGCGTATACCGCCACCGCCTCCCCCATCGATTGCGAACGGATATCCGACTCTTGCAAACAGATATTTATCCTTAAGCAATATCACATTCTTCATACTAGCGTGTTCTTCTTACTTTTACAACTATAAGATCGGCCTAGTTTCTATCCCTATCAATGTTCCTTCCTACATTCCCAACATCAGCGTACACGAGCTTTTAAGTATTACGGTCGCGATCTCCGTATATCTGAGTTTCGTATTGGAGCGTCGGTTCCTAAAACTCACCGTGCCTACTATTCTGAGGCTCATGTCAGTCATTCCCGATGCACCGCCCGTTCCGGGTGCTCCACCTGTTCCCGGCGCACCACCTGCTCCCGGGGCACCACCTGCTCTCGGCGCACCACCTGCTCTCGGCGCACCACCTGCTCTCGGCGCACCACCTGCTCCCGGTGTACCAGCTGCAGCTGGATGAACTCAACCGGAAGAGTTGAGGGAGGGGATTGCGGTGACTTGATTAATCAAATGTCGTACGTAGTTTAGTTACATTGTAATAATTTACCGGGGCAATATAGCCCGATCGAAATACATGCCAGGTTTTGTATCCGCAAAGAAACTAGGCAGATGTTATCACTTGACCGACTGTGAATTGGGTAATCCTCTGGGTGGAGACATTTTCACATTGCGAGCGACATGGTGTGGAGTAGGTGATCAGCAGGACAGGGTTCTTCTTCTAGAGTCGAGAGTGATATGTGATGACGCTGACGCTTGTTTCCAATTACTCGGAGTCAAGCGAGCACATAAGCGATTCCTCCATCATCCTTGCAGCCCAGTAGTAAGCGCGCGCAAGTAACCAAGTAACCAAGCCCACATTACCGCATCCGGTTAAAACCAGTAATACCCCCAACCCAGGCACGGCCTGATTAGTAGATATTACATCACGGCTTGATTAGTAGATATCGAATCCTCGATGATAAATTCCAAACTATCTCTCCCACGGGTACATACGCGTATTAAATTACAAAGAGTGTAAAAAGAAGTCCCTAGAAAGGGGCAAGAGTAGTATCGGACTAGCTGGGATATATTTGAAATCAGCGAAGTAATCGTGAATTGCTAGCTGGTTTGATGTGTGTGTGCAGATGTGGGGCTCGGTGTTGTATAAATACCTATTGCTTCTGCTTCAATCCTTCAGATATCAATCCGCATCAATCAACATTCAGAACTACATCTTCAACGCCATCATAACCGCCTTCAAAAGTCGAAATGCCTTCTTACGTCGTTACCGGAGCAGCTCGCGGAATCGGGGTAAGCTATCCATAATCCCCGGTACCATTTCAAACGCAAACTAACCATCTTTCCCGCCCCACAGCACGAATTCGTCAAGCAGCTCGTGAGTCTCGCTACTCGCCTCTCTACCCCAAGAATACGATGCTAATATATAATTTTAGAGCGCAAATGCAAACAACACTGTCTTTGCCCTGGTCCGCAACAAAGCCACCTCGCAGAAAGTAGAGGCACTAGCAAGACCCAATATCCATCTTATCGAAGCGGACGTCACCAAATATGCCGCTGTCAAGGTATGTAGTACTTTAGCGTCGCAGACTATACCTCGACCCAGTTAAGAAGCTAAAACGGGGGTGGAATAATATAGGCTGCTGCAAAGGAGGTTTCGGATATTACAGGAGGGACGCTAGACGTCTTGATCCACAACGCGGCCGATATCGATCCTGAAGGCGCACTATTCGTTCTTTCGGAATAGTAAGAAACTCTCTCTTCTTTTGTAAAAGTTAGTCTTACTGACGTATTATCAAGCACGGATGATTCCCAGACTGAGCACTTTACCAAGACTGTTTGTCCCCCACACTTCCCACAAAATCTCTTCTTTCCTGTTAACAAATATCCGTCCCAGTTCCAAACCAATACCCTCGGCGCCCTTCACGCCGCCAATAGCTTTCTCTCTCTCCTCTCCGCCGGCACCACTCGTAAAGCCATCCTGATATCGTCCGGCATCGCCTCCCAGTCATTTAACGAAGCCGCCGGAATTGCCACACACGTTCCATACATAGTCTCCAAAACTGCCGCAAACACTTTGTGGTGGAAGTATGCCATCGAGTTTAAAGATCGGGGTTTCACGTTCCTAGCGATGAGCCCTGGGTATGTTGATTCTGGATCTGGCCCTGGAGACGAGAGGGAGCAAGAGGGAGTGAGGAAGCTTGAGACTACACTTAAGAGCTTGGTGCCAAACTTTAAAGGGAAGATCACGATGGAGAAGTCTGTGAGGGATCAGCTGGAGACTATTGAGAGGGTGGGGCCGGAGTATAGTGGGAAGTTTGTGTCGCAGTGGGGGAATCAGGAGTGGCTTTAGAAGCATGTATTAGTTACGGGTGCAGTCCGATTTAAGGGTGGATTTTCAATATATTTGGTGAAAATGTCTGGTTTGCGTCACTCGCCAAGCCTTACGAGTGAGAACCTGTGATTTTGTTGCCCAATCTCCGATTCAATGAAACGAATTAGTAAACCTAAATGTTTGTTTCAACAAACCAAGGGAATAATTACTTAACACTAAACTTCACTCCATATAATCACTTAAAACATTCCTTAATGATCTATCACTATGTAGTTACTAACGACTATAGCTAATCATGGTCACTACTCTTCTAGCTTATTAACTCGATTATAGTCCATGCTTCGATAATGATGTAGCCTTAAGAGCTTGGGCCTGCAGCTAGCTATTAAAGAACACCATAGATGTAAAGTGCACGAGAAGAAGATGTTTATTTTAATTTTTTACCTCTTATTTTTTCCCGACAGTAACCCTAACCCTAACTTACGGTATTAGGCAAAACCAATATAAGAGCTGCTTCCCGAATAAAAGAATATTAGATGAGCACCATACAGTGCCAGTAGAAAGACAAAGAGGGGGGAAGAAGGGGGTGAATGATGCCAAAACCCATTTTTCGCCGATAAGGTTGGTTCAAGTTAGTGCCAACCTTGGTATTAGGAGTAGGAGGGGGGTCGAGTATTTCGGTTAGTTTCGATGCGATTTTCTGTCGAAGTATGAGCTCAGTAATACTGACTCTTTTGTTGCCGGATCACGAAAGCAATTGAATAGAGTGATGTCTGTGGACCCGTGCTTACTGGCCACGACGAACTGCCAAATACGAGATTTCAAATGTGTGTACAGCCGGGTTTCTTTGTTTCATTATATATTATTTTACCAAAGCTCCATGGTACGTGTTGAGAAATCTGGAGGACTAGTACGTACGTCTGAATAATTAAATTCTGGTAGAATGGAGTAAGAGGTTTAAGAATACGTCTTCTAGTATACTTTATTATTGATAGCTACATACATGCAACCATGTAGCCAGAAGCATCCAAAACAGATATTGGATGATATAATACAGTATGGATTAAGAACATTAAGCTTAAGGACGTTCAGCGATTAAATTATAAACTCGACATGAACTTGGACGCAAATCATCTGCGTACATGCATCAAGAAACGATAATTAGAGGAACCACTATGGGGAAACTGTAATAGGCGCAGTGGTAATCAATGATGGTGATAGTCATAGTAATTATAAAACGTATGGGGGAACTGAAGAGATTGTTTAAAACCCTATGTTTGAGAACTTGTAATAACAACGGCAACAGTAACACGCTCATAACTTATCACTCGCACCTGTTAACGTATGATTGGCGCATTCCAATCTGGGGTTGATGTGTAGGGGCTTGTTTTATTGTAATAGTTGGTCAGTTTATTAAATTTGCCCCAATAAACGTGGCCGTTAACGCGTTGATATAATAAGTGTAACCACGCTGGAACCAATTGCACTTACAGACATTGATTGGTATCAATAAATCGATCCAAAAGATTGAACCGAAGTGTAGAAAAACAAAGATCCTTGTATACGCTCCTAGTTTGAGGCTTGAGGGGTTATGAACCACGTGTTAAGTATTTTTGTTTTGTTTGTTCCGTAGACTCAAGATGTCACAAACCAGCTTGCTATGCACACCACATTCACGACGTCGGGGCAGAAACCTAATGGTGGCCAAACATAGATCATTACTCGTTTGTATTGATCATAGCATGTATAACCGCTAGGTAATATCATGTGTACCGTGCCCGGATCTCATCCAATCACTCCAAATAAAATCACAGAACAAAGTAAAGAAGAAGGAAATCCACACCAAATAACCTAAGCAGCCAACCAACCACCAAAACCACCTGCAAGCAGTAACAGTATAACGCAGAAAAAAAAACGAAGTAAAAGATAAACTTCTCGACAGGCCCAAGCAGGAACCCAAGACAGGAAGTAGAAGTGTAAATAATCGGGATCGAAGGAAGGGTACGGGTGTAACGTGAGAAAGCATCAAGCGTCAAAAAAAGGGGTGGGCCATCGAAGCGACGGTAAAATATTTGCAGGTTCTGATTTGCCGATCAGGACGCCGAGTATTAGAATAGATGGGGCATCAAAATAGGAAATATATTAGAAAAATGATAAAAAGAAATCTAGGAAGGGAACAAGGGGAAAGTGATCATCTGAAGAGGGAAGACTTGTTACCCAGGATTGTTACAGCCGAAGTTTGCGAATGATGAACCCAATATGCATACGTGAAAGTGAAGAAAGCTATAGTGAAAGGAAAAAATAAGGTCAGGATCAATCATGAGACGATGCAGCTTTTTGGTTTTCTCAATACTTTCTCCTTTTTTTCTCTGTTCTCTTTTCCATCAACTTGAAGCTTATCCTTGTCTGGATTAAATGAAAATTCGTTCAACTCTTCATCTTGTTCTTCTTCATTTTCCTATCATATCCCTAACTTAGTTTACTGTGCCGCAGTCGCCCCCAATTAGGACTAATGAAAAGGGGGTGATCAAAATACCGTCACTTCTCCAGACCTCGCTGATAGCGGTTCTGGCCACATTTCTGGCACCGGTCGAGCTCGTATCCTACTTAGTCGCTTTTGATTTTGGAATTCAAGCTCCTTCTCAGGTGTATCCTTTGATCCTCGAGTTCGTGGGCAGCTAAGAAGCCGCTGAGAGATTGTACGGCTCACTTTCGCAGTTGGTGGAAACTCCTGGTTCTCTTCTGTTACGATAATTGTAGGGGTTGTGGGAGTTATTTTGCGTTTATCAGTTCTTGAGTGATGGCGCTTCGGAATTGGTTTTTTTGATGTTTGAGAGGGGCGTTTGGATATACGTATGTCGATTGCAGTGAGAGTGGAATCTGATGGAGGCGACGGTAGTGGTTTATTGATGTTCGCGGATATTTTGGGGCACTATTTGTAGAAGTGAGTGGAGAGCTCGTACGGATAGAATTCGGGGTTAAAATCTCACCGATTTTTGCTTGCCACCACTATCGAATCCTGTATCAAAAGACATAAACTTTAGCATCTAACCATATGCAGAAATAACTTCATGACTTCTCTAGATGCTATAAAGGATAAAATCTTACTTTGTTCCTCCTAGATGCTTCACCTGTCCTCTGCTCGATCTCCCGAACCACACGTCGCAGTTGGCCGATATCCTCCTTCAATCCTGCACCTTTCGTCTGCAACCCCACCAGGCCCGTAAACCATTGTTCAACGTTGACGGTCATCGCGGTGTAAACCCGTATTAGATCCGTATTCTTCCATCCCTTTTTGAGACTCAACAGGTATTTCGCCAGCTCATCCACCGCACTCAGCCCTTCTCGCACATCCACTAAAGCGCTCTTCATAGCCACTGTGGTCCGCGATATCACATATTCAACATTTTCATTCCCTTTGACGATTTCTAGCCGGAATTCGCGATCGCCCAACATTTGATCAAAGACATCGGATGCGCGGCCAGTATCTATCGGGACCCGCAGGTGCTTTAGCCTTTGTCTGATGTCTGACTTTGCCATCTCAAAATCATTTGTGGTCGAAGAGACAAAAAAGTCCATATCATTTACATGCGACTGAAGTATTCGCACCACCTCCGGGTCAGATTTGGCGAGCCGTGCATGCAGTAGGTGAATTCCGAAGGCGATTTGCGACACAAGTTTAAGGAGCCTGTGGTGTTCCGAGTGGCGGTGACCTTGCCGAGAGCGAGAGCCTTGAGAGGAAGAAGACGAATAACCCGCTCCGGAGGAGCTGCTCGCACTTGCACTTGTGCCTGCATCTTCCTCGAGATCGAGAATGGATTCTTCAAAGGCGGCCTGCATGGATGGTACAGGATGCCGGGGTGCAGGTGAGATACCACAATACTCACTACCATTTTTGCTGCTATGGGACGTCATGGAATGAAGTGAAGGTGATGCTGGGGGGCTGTAGCTCCGATTTCGAGATTGATGTCGGAGTTTCTGGGAAGCCATCATGTCGTCCTCTCTATTTCTTTCCCCCCTCGGCTGATTTCGTTAATGCTTGTTGTGGGATGTCAATAAACAAAAGTCCAGGAGAGGAAAGTGGCACCTCCCTCACCCTGTCGATTAGGAATTGGCGGCAGATCTATCTATGATCCCTTAAGCCACTAGGCACCACGGAGTATTCGCGGGGAAGGGTGTGGGCACGTTCGTTTTCTATATTGTAGTTAGTGTTTTCACCTGTGTCGCTTTTTCGCTTTGTTTTCGCTTGTCTCGATCTTGGTGCTTGATTTCGTGAACATCAAAATAAAGAAGGTAAACCACGGACAGAAACCCGGTAGTTAAAATATAGGCAATCTTGTGACAGTCTGTGCGAGTATCATACAGTAGCCTCTAGCTAGATACATGTAAACGATGGCACAAAGGGCTTAATCGAAAAGACTCATCAAGTGGCACAGCACGAGGGGCAATATAAACTAAAATGCGCCTTGTGCCATTCTACATTGAGTAGCTAGCTTTGCCATTATTTTTGTGAATTGAAACATAAAGAACGGCTCTGATTTACGGGCGTCTATTTGGGCCCTGCCAATATCTCAGCGCTTGGGTTGCCTATGGTTGATGATGTAACCGGTTATGCTCCCCTTTATTCTGTATGCGGTGTAGCGCAGGCCGTGTAGCGCGAATAAGTAGCTAGCTAGCTCCCTTTACGGGCCGCAGAGAGGTTGCCAGCAGTGGATCCATAGAGTGCCTAGACAACCATCTGCTCGCAATTGGGGGAGATACGGAAGATGTAGAGCACAATAGAGCGTATTTACTAACCGTCAATTCAGACAATTGGCGCTTTGCCACTCTCCAAAGCGGCATCCACAAGTGCCACTTTGCGGCTTGCGCATCCTATGGAGGGGAAGTATCAATTTTGCATTTTGCAACCATCAATTTCGAAGTGTCAATTGTCAAAAATGACACTTAGTAAATACGCTCTAACGCCCTCTAGCTAGGTAGGGTGTGAACAGATATACTGTAGGCAGTGCCGGAGGGCTCTCGGGTCATGTACCAACGGACTGGGCTGGAATACCACTTACCCATTGGTCAAGACGACCAAAACCTACGCTTTGGGTCTGTCGGATTGAGGCTCAACAAGCATTTGATCAATCCGAAGCCCAATATTCCAGTCCAGTTCGTTTCGTTATTCCTGAGATTTTGTGGTATGCCATTGTAGGAAAATTGAGCATGCACCAGAAACGGACCCATCATGTACCGCAGGTATTGGTAGCGATACATGTATGTACCATAGGTTACAGTTATCAAGCGTTCGGTCCCACATTCAATTCAACCCCCACTGCCGAAACTCCCAACGCCTCAAACCCAGGTAATCTAGAAAGGAATAGAGTACTATCGTTCACGATGTAATGACAGACACTAGGTATCAACTGATTAGGCCAGAAAGAGAAAGATAGAGCAGCCAAGATCTCTTTTATTGGCTCAAATCCCCCTGTCCGTCAACACGATCCAGTGCCCGTCAGCACCTCGTGAGCGACAGTACCTGAGAACTCAATGTCTCACTCTTTTTTTTCCTGGTGTATCTATCGCAATTAGAGTGGATACTGATACTCTCGGAAATCTCATGGTGATCTGCAGATACCTGGTTCAACCCTGTTCCGCACCACCAAGTACTGTTGGTTTTCAATGAACTTCTCACCATGGCCAATAAGACTCCGTCAAATCTCGGGTATCAACGCCACCAAAAGTTGTGGTGGATACATTATTAGATTGTGGCTTTCCCCACAGTTTTGTGTGGCACCCGACAACGCTCATTGAAGCAATGATTGCGCCAACCAAGTGCCGGATCTAGAGCCATCATTCCTAAAGCTCATGATCAGTCGTCTTTAATGCGGTCTTCTAACGCATAAAATGTTTACCAAACCGATCATGGTTTGATAAACATCTATTTTACGCATTCCACATCATGACTATGGAGTGTCTATGTCTGTCCTCAGCGACAATGTCTATCGGCGCCTTATGGTTCGAGTTATAGCACTAGTAACACTTTCTTAGGCTTGGTCGTTGAAAACAAGACCAAAAAGTTGGAAGCGCTTGATGGTAGCAATAAACGTCCAAGGGGCAACACTAAAAGTTCTATATATTTTAAAGTAACCTATCCCAAAGTGCCACATATGTGTGATTGGGGCTACTCTCTTGTGCGCTTCGAGAAGACGCAGGGAGACGATTTGAGGAAGCCGCTTGAGGGGTGAAAGCAGACAGAAACGAACAGCGATAATTATGCGGAGTGAAACTCCCAATCTACTCTCACCTCAACCTTTAGTATATCATTCATCAATATAGGTTGTTTTAGAACACGACCCCCCATTTAGGGGAGTATTTAGATCTTTACCATAATCATTAATCTCATTATCATCCGCCAAAGCAGATAGTATTGCCTAGTCTCCAATCAATAAGCATTCGGCATACGGTAGGAGACTTGATTTGATGCCATATCTTCAAGGGTCTGGAAAGATCCTGTTATGCACATACGGGTGGGATATCACGACATACATGTACATAGCTTCTGCTTTAATAATAACCCGCGGAATTATGATACGCTAGAGCCTTGGAATTTTGAGCTGCTAGCCACGATGTGAGATATTGGTTTCGAATTTCATTGGTTCCTTCATTGATGTTCTTGGTAGATATCGAAGACAAAAACATACCGTGTCATTGCCGTTTCTCCCAGTCTTTTTCGGAAGAAGGGTACATAAAAAGAAACTTTGTAGTTCTGCAGCGCACTGTTTGGTGGAGCAAATTATTAGGGCTAGGGTTATTCATCTACCACTTGTCAGATTTAAGAATCCAGCATCAATCTAACTCCACACCCTATGGGGATCTGGGAATTTCACCATTACCGCTATCACCATAACCGTAAGATACTAGCCTTGCTGAGTGAGGATGCAGATTGAACCGAAGCGAAGTAAACCGAAAAAAAATCAACTCACTTATCCTAGGGTCTTAGGAGAGAAAAAAATGTGTTGAAAAGGCCTAGAGGTTGGACTAACACACCCCCACAGAAGTATTCTTCGGTGGGCGAAGCTAAAGTAGGTGATATCCGTGACAGCTACCGTATGTATGATGGTGCTCCCGATACTAGAGTAGAGTATGTTATGTATGTGCTCGGGTGCGGACAGAAAGGTGACCTTCTATTGGTACAGAACGACGAGAATTGGCGTTCCTGCGCGTCAACGATAGGCTATCACGAGCTTAGTGTCCGTAGGGCCCATGTCGTGAAGATCGCCGTCATAAGAGGGAGGGAGGTACACACAACGTTGACTTGTGGAAAGAGTGAGGAAGAAGGAAATATCTATCTGGCTAGTTCATGAAAGTAAGCAGATGCAGTCGAGTGGCTAGAGTAACAGCCCGACCGCCTCTATTAGGCACATACGTAGCAATTGAATTCTAGGAGATAGCAAAAGTTTCTTTTCTTGTTACACCTAACGACCCCCATCCATCCCCTTCCATCATCCATAATTCATCCCACATATCTTCCCCCACAAGTTCTCAGGCGTTCGTTATATCTATATAAATACTTATACCTACTTGACACCGTGTTCCCACATTCGATACCTGTCCCGAGGAACTGGAGATGAAGAAAAGCTTGGTTTTTAGTAAACCCATGTCCGTACTCGTTGAAAATTAGGGCGGTTCCTGGAGAGGTTTTAAACCTGGATGAATATGTGTCTGGCGGCCGGCCTCACATACATGTATGCAATGCACGGGACCAGCTTCATGTCTGTGTTCCGGCCTCAGTTACACCTTGCTTGATTCTCTCTACCTATCAATACCCCGCTTCCTTATTCCCCATTCCTACATACGCTGCTGGCCTTGTTCTATATAATTCCATCCCGGGCCCTTTTGCTCTTCAACGCTATGCGTCGTCTGATCTGATCTGATCTCATTTATTCCGCACCGCTCGACTGTTCATCTAATCCAGGTTTTGTCGATTCACAGTCCACCTTATCACATCATAGACGTGCTCCATTTTTTTTTTTTGCGTTTTTAAGAACTCTCTAGTCAAGTAAGGAGGCAAACCATGGGCAACACGGGTAATGAGAAGGAACCCGTCATTCCTGCAAGCAACATTGAGGTAGATTCTGGCATGGTGAGTCATCATATCATATTCGTGGTGGTGTGGTAGTCGTGGTGGTGGTGGTGGTTTTGGCGGTAGTGTTTCACGGCGAAGGTTTTGCACTCCCTGTCCTTCTCAAATCTGACCAGATGCCCCTACCAGTACTACCAGGCGGGAGACGATGATGACGACCAAAGTTCCGGGAAGTGAGTGACCGAATTCTTCCCCCTGCAGTTGACATGTTGGGAACACAAATGTACCCAAAGCAACTGAGCCGCGGTGAACCAAAGTACTGGGTCCAGCCATGCGCTGTACATTGTGGGCCACAGAGAAGATAGAGATACTTATCAGATCAACGTGTAGTAGCCAAAGCGGATGTGTTTCTCTAACATCGAGTATTACTGACTACCCCTTTGAACATGGTACGTGAAATCTTTCCGTCGCTTTGTTTTCTATACTATACTAAATCTCCCAAGGTAGGAGGTATCATAAATATGCAGAAGGCCAATACTTTTTGCCAAATGATGAGGTATGCCCCCTTAAAATACATTTATCAAAACAGACAAGAATGATACTCACTACGCAATTTCTAGACGGAGCAAGATCGGTATTTTGACCCTTTCTGCCTGATTGACATTTCAAATATCTAATCCCGCGATTGTAGCCTCGATATGCATCATCATATATTCCTCAAACTACTACACGGCAAGCTTACTCTCGCACCTCTGGATCGATACCCTCCAAGGCGAGTTTTGGACGTTGGCTGTGGAACTGGAATTTGGGCGCTTGATATGGCGGAGTAAGATTTTCTCTGAGCTGGAAAGCGGCCCGTAACCGGTACATCTTTACATGTAGTTTAATACGCTTTTGTGTGGGAATTTCTTAGATTATATCCCGA